TTAGGAAAAACCATTTTATTCGAGATAACAAAATGCAATATACTACAAGCATCAATATTTTGTAGGAAAACCTCGACTACTGATGACAGCGGCGCAGCGCGAAGGCATCGAACCGATAATTTTTTGGATGGTAGACATTGGCATGGCGTACCACTCTTTCACTAGTTCAGCGAACTTTTCTTCTTTGTTTTTGCTATATTTGCCGGAACAACGTCTTTTGAGCTCTTCCCACATGTGCTCTATGGGATTTAGATCGGGGGATTGGCTTGGCCATTCAAGAAGTCTGACTTGCTGCTCACAGTTCCACCGAAGACTTTTGAGCGCCACTGTATATCTTATGCGCCAACGTTATTGGCTGCTGAAAATTCATGAGACATCCCTTTCCCAAAACCTGAACAACACAGAAGGACGCCGAATCTGGTTGTTCTAGTACTCCATAGGGAGCCTTACTCCATCCCAACGAGAAGAAATGGCTAATTTTCATACGTATTGAAACAAGTTGGTGCTCATCATCAGCGTTGCGTCAACTATGAAATTTGATGATCTTGTGGGCATTTGCGCGGCTACTAATATCAAAGGTTATCTGAGTGCGTTTCAACAGATTTTCGGCGCACTACTTGCTGGCCATCCTGCCAAAACAAAAAAACTTGTCAAAACGGTAGCGTCTAGGAAAAGTGAACAGAAGAAAAGAAAGAAGATGGCCTTCTGTGACTGACTTGCTTGTGCTTTGCTTACTTCATTTCAACTAAAAATAAATTCATGGTCCGAGTCCCAGGACACTACACGTTATTTCATTTGATCTAATTTGGAATGTTTCTGAGCTGTTTGCACTCATTTTCGGGGCCGGAAAACGCTAAGTTTAGTTACAGTTAGGATTACCAGAAGACTGATAATGACTCATCTTCTTAACCGCTTTTCGAGAAACAAAAAAATAAGGAGATACTCGTCCACTAGTATACAGCGTCATGATGATTGTTCCTCAGCGAAAAGTTCGTTGAGATCGCCAAACTGCTCTGCCACCTATCGACCTTCATCGAAATTTCAGAGCATAATGTAGCAAACATGATTTCCGAAACGCAATCTGTCATTGAAATAGAGACTATTTTTATGAAAAAAATAATAAACGAAAAGCTATTATTTTTTTAAAAAAGGCACAAAAAAGCCGCAATAACTATGCATCAACCTACATAGTATGTGAATAACTTTATCCTACCTTTCACAGAAGGAATCATTCAAGCCTATCTGGTTTTTGGAGTGTCTCGGTGCCTCCGAGTAAAGCGAACTTTTAAGGCGGATGGCATAAAACTTGTTCGCCGAAATGGAAGATTACTCGTGAATAAAAACTGTGGAAAAGCCTAAAACGTGTGGAGGGGGGGGGGGGAGAGGTGGGCTACTCTTGGTGGGAAGTTGAATGAAAGCATGCAGAAGCACATCCTGTAGAAAGCTATAATTCCATCAGATTTTTAAGTGTGTGAAATCAAATTATGTGTAACATAAAATTGTCGCCAATACATATTGCGCAATCCCTGAGCCAGGCAAAAAGCCGGGCTCCAAATCCATCCCGGCAAGGTTCACAAGGGGGTCTTTCAAATGAGCAGTGCTTTTTGGAAACGGTTTCTTGCATATTGTAGGGACACATGTATGGACCACAAATCGTTTTGCTGAGAGTGGTGAAAAGTGGTGAATAATACCCTAATGGTTCGATCCCCCGCGGCGACTAAATTCTGCTATCAAGGCTTCAAAATGGTCCTGACGATGAATTTGACATCTGATTTTGATATTTAGCGCGATTTGGCACCAAACCGTAGGCGCCAACCCAAATGCAAAATTTAGTCGCCACGGGGGATCGAACCTTAACAGTACCTTATGCTTCTTTTTTGGTACTGCTATAACCGTTCAGCGAAAATGAAACATGGTTTTGTGTTCCCTACATGCGTCCCTACAATATGCAAGAAACCGTTTTGAAAAAGCGTGGCTTGCCCTGAAAGACCCCCTTTCAAGTGGATGCATAACGAACAAGTTCAGTACCAGCCAATCCTCCTTAAGACCCCCTGTGCAAGTGCATACATAAGAACAAGTTCAAGTACCAGCCAATCCTCCTTAAAGGAATCTTGCGCGGAAAATTCTTGCACTCTTTCCTAACATGAATATGTCAGTTGTGATCACTGGAAATAGCACACAAAGTTTCACGCATGAAGATTCGGTTTCTGAAGAGAAACAAACGTACAAAAACTACACGTTATGGACCATCGAAGGACCAGGAGGCAGAGCCAGGCGAGGCATGGAAAGAAGACGGCGTTTGGCCGGCTACGTACCAGGCGACGCAATGAGAGAATCGGGTTAAAGCGCGCGATTTCGGAGAGTGGAGACAAATCGATCGATGGAATAGGATGGAGTAGAAGTGTAAGATGTGAATGCAACGAAGCAGAAGGCCAGAAAGAGCTTCTAGTGAATGCACTCCAAGAACCAAGTTTGAGCATCCCCGTCGCCAGCATTCGTGAAAGACGTCCGTGGGCAATTCGAACGCGTAGCAGCCTTTTCGAGTTTTCGAATTTCTAATCAAAACGAAAGCAATACTTCAGTTCTTTTCACTATTATCGTGGATAATGAGTCTCAAGCCAGTGATTTATGGCTGAAATAGAATCATGATTTTTCCGCGCAAGATTCCTTTAAGGGGCAGAACATCGAGGGCCCATACGGCTATTTCGGCAAAGCGGTCAACATGAACAACGACCTTACGCTCAAAATTAGCGGACGCCGCAGAGCTGACTGGAGCGTTCCGAGGTTTACTGATTTCTAAACACGTAGACTCTGAAATCAACGTTGAGCGCACTAGGACGAAGTCGTGGAGCACACGGTCCGAGTACGCGATCGTAGCCATACGAAGTCATTAGGTTAGGAGAGGCCTGTGGCCGGTGTGCAGCTCGAGATCACATACGAAGTTATACGACTCACAATGGCTGAGGACGTCCTGGAAGCCATCTATAATTCCGGCGCAGATGGGCCAGTCACGTGGTTAACTCACCGGTGATCCCTGGTCCAAGACAGTGACTGACTGGCACAGAAGGAGGAAAACAAGACTCGGAGGCAGATTCCCCACCCGATGGGCGGACCCTTTCGTAAACTTGTACGGCTAACTGTGGTGCAGAAGGTCCCGAAGCAGAGCAGCCTGGAATATGTGAAGATATCAATTAAATGAATACGTCTTTTTCCACACATTCTCGTTATGGCGACAAGCATACCATTTCCGGATTCATCCTTCCTGGTGCATAGAAATCCAACGAGTCACAAAACTTGTGGGTTTCTTCGGGACCGGTGTTAGAATCGAAACCTCTGCGAGCCAGCAATGTTAGTGCGTTCGACTTCTGATTGACTGTTCTACCGCTGAAACTGTCTCCACATAATTCGGTAGAGTTCCACGGACCTATGGTAGATGATAGAGCACAATCAATCTCTGTGGCTTCATGACATCATCCACAGCTAGAACAACTCATTGTAAACACTGGAAAGGTGCACATGGCCTGGTCAACGATTCACGATGTTGAGATCGTATCCGAGTCGGACTTCCTCCTACAAGGAGGAGGACTACGCCGTGAATGTGAACAAATGACGGTTTAGGGTAGAATGGTTCGGTTGACTTGAGCGGGAATTGTGATTCAGGCATATAAACATTTTTGTAGGTCTTGTGTGGGGTGGAGGGTGGGACAGGTGTGCTGCAGCAGTTCGTACCATTCACGGTAACCCCAATTGTTGCAGGCTAGGAAGTTCTGGATCGGGTCGAACAAAGTTCTTGTGCGAAAAACTAGGTTAGTTCTTGTTTTTCTAAATATCTAAATTTAAAGAAACTTTTTGTTGCGTAGCAAATATCTGCTCCCACTCCAGCTGGATTTTTCACAAACAATAACGACTGGTCACCGCATTTTCGCTAGTCCGTGCTCACGTTTTTAACCCCGTTAGCGCTATCCCGCAATGGCCATATAAAGGTTTCTGACTGAGTGTAGCTTCATTTGTCTAACTTAAGCTGAGCGCTAACATATTGCAAGAGAGACTTTGCCGAAGTGGACGTCCGCCTAGAGTAACCTTATTTTCGACAGTGGATGCAGCATCTTTACTATCGACAGTTCCTTACCAGGAAGGTCTTTCAGGGCGTGCCAAGCTTTTTGAAAACGGTCTTTTGCATGATATAGGGGCACATGCGGGAACCACAGAACCATGGTTAATTTTTCCTGAACGGCCCTCTGAATACCAGAAAAGGGGTCCCTAGTTCGATTCCTCGTGGTGACAAATTTTTGCATTTCGAGTTGACGTTTCAAAATTAGCGCAAAAGTTAACAACATGAAATTACCATATTCATGATTAGGACCGTCAGTAACCCTTACAAATAGACTTTGATTAAAAAACTGGTGAAAAAGGTGTGACACCACAGTGGGGCTGCTTGGTGTCACACCTCTTACACCAATTTTTAAGTCAAAGTCTTTTTGTAAGGGTTACTGACGGTCCTAATCATGAATATGGTACTAATTATTCATGCTAACTCCATTTGCGCGAATTTTGGAACGTCAACTCGAAATGCAAAAATTTGTCACCACGAGGAATCGAACTAGGGACCCCTTTTCTGGTATTCAGAGGGCCGTTCAGGAAAAATTAACCATGGTTCTGTGGTTCCCGCATGCATGCAAAAGACCGTTTTCAAAAAGCTTGGCACGCCCTGAAAGACCTTCCTGGTTAACCTACGTAGCTTAGTCTAGTCCTAACTTTCCTTAATATTGTATTTAATACGCTACCTGACTTTTTTCTGGTACACTAAAAGTACGAGTTGGTTGCTTTTGCTGTCTATGATGCCTTTACACTCGTAGAACGCCCGCTGCCGATTGTATTGCAGAAGCAGTTTTGCAATATTAATCAACTCAAAAATCCATCACTTGCTCTCAAGTAGAGACACGCAACGTTCGATGAGATCCGACATCATTGCCCGATCCTGGTAAATTCCAGCGATCGCATTACTTTTTCTTTGCGAGGCGTTGGAGCCTAAACATTCGTTTGACTTTTTGACTTATGCGTAACATCAGTCGGACTGTGATCATAGAAAGTGCGAATCGAGTTAAAAAGAAACGAAAGAAAATAGGAACACTTTTACGGCAAAATCTCTAATGAGTAGCGCAAACGTGCTTGAAATTCAATATTCAAAGAAGGAAGAAGTGCTTCATACTATGCGGCTTGAAGTTTGTCGATAAGAGTTTCCGTGCAGTGATTAATACAGAACTTGCCACTCAAAAGCGCTGTCAGCAAATCGGCCGATGTTGGTGAGGGAGTTCCCACTGACAGCTTAACACGCTGACGACAACGCGAGTTTTGGCTTTTTTGACCGAGGGACCGGGGCGATTTGGAGGGCGCGGTCGACGCACAGTGGGGTTTCGGTTTTCGAAAAAAGCAGATTTTGAGTGACAAATACATAAATATATGATCAATACAAAACCAGATCAGTAAATTGTAATGAGCACAAGCTACCCAGGCGTACAGTAGTGGAATTTCGAATGGAATAAGCAATGAAAAAGCGAAATTTGTCAGAACTAGCTGCGATGGACCTCAAAAGCAATTTTACGTTGATTATTTCATCAAAACACACATATTGTCATCCCTCAAGGTTTCGTATCTACTTCCTGCTACTATTTAAATCTTCACATTCATTAATAAAAAGAAAAAGGTAAACGAAAAATTTATTGAAATGAAGATTTCGTATGGTTCAGAAATCCTCCTCTAAATTAAAGTATACGTGACCATTCTAAGGGCCACTATGTTTGTAGCTACGTCAAGGTCTCTTCCATGGAATGAATACAAGAAACTTCTAAAAGAATCAGGCGTGCGCGAAAAAAAAGTTTAATGTGGTGTCGGAGGGTATAACCTCCCCTTCAAAAAGCCAGAAAGTGTCGGGTGCAGACCATACACCACAAGTGACGACGGCCTCCAGAAAATGCAAATGTTTTTTGCCAATGAAATGATTAACCTGTTACAGTTGTATTCGATCAGTTGACAGTAATTACAACTATCATTTACTAAAAATCATATCACTATAAACCACTACTAACCAAATTTACTTTGAGGCCGTCGTCACTTGTGGTGTATGGTCTGCACGCACAATTTCTGGTTTTCGAAGGAGAGGGTAATCCCGCACGTCCGACATGGCGACAATGCGCGATATATGCGTTGTCGTCAATGTGTTACCTTTTTCGAAGTCACATTTCGCAACAGCTGTAGCATCGCCATATATGATCCATGGGTGCGGATTGCTTCGCTAATGGTTAGAACAAAAAAGCGTCGAAACATTTTGAACGCAGATGGTTGGAATCGTATAAATTAAAGGACGAATTTACGATGGAAAAGCAACCCATTCCAAATTGAGGTAGAGATGGTGAGTAGTACCAGAAAGAAAGCGAAACCACGAAAAACGGCCCAGAACCGGAGAAATGGGACCCCTTCCTTGTCCGTTGATTTGAGCATTGATGGGACTCTCATCGCTTTGCCCTCTTCAACCCTACGCTCTCTCAGCTATCTAATCACTCGCCACCTATTGTACTACGGCGAGTGATCAGACGATCGGTGGGCGGAGATCGCCGAACTCGCCAACTTTGAGCCATGCTAGATCTCAGAGGTCAAATCTTTCGATGCCGATTGCGTGTCTGTCCGCACCCTCAAGAGATTCACCGCTCTCCCCACTAGGCGATTTCTCCCTTCTTCGACCTTCGTTCTTTCCGTGCAATCCTCCTTTAAACTTGAAAGTTAATGCCCGGAAATGGATCTTCTTTCCCAGCTTTTCCTCGCCACTGAACGAGCAGTGCAGCATAACAATATCGTGTTTGACGGAGTGCCTAAGTTAATTAGCGGTATCGCTACCAAAATCGTCATCCTTCATTCATAACAAAAAAAATTAAGATAGACGCTTAGCAAAGGCCCTTTTGTCGAAGGCCAATACGACGTGCCGTGCTGTACCCCCCCCCTCTTAAGAGGGAGTGATGATCAGACGTTTGAAATCAACGCAACGGACAAATGACCCCAAACCGGGAAGTCACTCAACTTCCCATTTAATTTTGAATTGAGACCTTGATATATCGATAGAGCTTTAAACGCTGATTATAATGGTGGAAACTGAAGCCGTGCAAGTGGGAGCCCTACCAAAGTCGTGAGCAGTTGGCTTGTTGCAATTGAACCAGTACATATGAGCACGTCTTAGCGTCCCGAAGCATTTTTCGCCGTGCGGAGTAGTGGTAGTGCTTTCGAAATTTGCACTCCAACAGGAGAAGAACTCATGACCTTCCGGCTGGAGAGCGAGAGCACTACCACTACTCCACGGCGACTCTGAAAGCTCGGAGGCTAGCACGATTCATGTAATGACTTTACTTCCAGCCAACTTTGACTGCTCACAACTTCCTTGGCAGGTTCATTTTGCAGTTTTAGTTTCCATATTTGTAATCAGCGTTTGAAGCTCTATCGATATCTGGGTCTTGATCAAAGTTCCATGGGAAGTTGAATGCCTTCCCAGGTAGTACTGAGCCCCTGGTTCCTTTGCCATGAGTTTTGAGTAGCTAAGGTAGGGCAACTTTTTCAGTTGCAGACCTGGCAACCTCCACGAACCGCAGCTTGATACGCTGCCTTCACTTTCATGAAGGCTGTGGTTTTCTGACGAATGCGTCGCCTGGAGTTCCTCTTCAACCATAAACGTCAAAAATAATATTCTATTGCAAAATAACGCTTCATCTCAGCCAACTCACTCGATGTTTCATTGAGTCAAGGTTTGTGATGGTTGCAAGCACTTTCACTTCCAGTGATGAGTTATCACTCTTCTTGAACGGCCTGGAAATACAAGGTAATATTTTAAAAAGTTCAGTACCATATTCAAGAGAATAGCAAATACGGACCACTCTGCTGTGACCCTCACGCTAGCGGAAGTAGTTCTGGATTTGCCTTCCGAACGCAGCAACGCCTCCTTCCTTACACCTTCATCCCACACCTGCATGTAAATTTTATTAAATTTTCTTACTCGAGAAAGCTGCTGTGGGATCGGTACAGAAAAGTTCAAACAGCTCGGATGCACCTACTGGAGGAACTAACCAGGTTTGTGTTGTACTGTTCATTGAGCTTCTCGAAGAACGCTTTCATACTTCGTGGCAACTGGTCTCCATCTAAAAAACCCAAAATAAGTACTTCTAGGGTTCTCTGGTTAGCCTAGGACAGCATGGTCACAATTTTTTGGTGTCGATCTGTTTACGCCCTGAAACCATGAATAAAAGGTACACTTTGCGCGACACTTAGAAAAAAGGCCAGGATTACGACGATTGGGAACATTTTAAGAGTGATACATTGTCTCTTTGTTCATACCTTTTTATTAGGCAAATTTCATGCACCTTACTTGGACAACATCACCCACAGCGGCTGGACATCGGAAAACTTTTCATTTTTGACCCAACGCGGCCTATGAAAACCAAGATCGCTCCAGGTTTCCAGGTTTACAACCTGTATGTGAATACAAGTGGCAAATGCGATAGTAACGTTCTTTCTTGAAAATCGAAATTAGTCGGAAAGTATGATTTCTTTCAAAAATGGAGTGATTTTTTCAACTTTCAAGAATGCAAACAACAATCACATTGTTGTTTGCATTTACATGTTGTTTTTATGCTTGTTTACCCCAAAATAATATTCGAAGATTGAACTAAACGGGGAAGTTAGTGAGGCTAGGAAAACCTTCGCTTAACTAAAGCATATTCAACCGCTTCATGGACCACACCGTTTACAGGCACGATGATGTATTGTCTATATAATAGTTATAAAAAATTTCGGAAGAAATAGGACATGTGCGGAAAAAATTGGTACCAAGATGCTGACGCGCATGCGCGTCAGAATGTCCAATGCGGCGCCAAATGTCTGACGCGCGCTGCGCATCCAGCCTGTATCAACGAGTTAAAGCCTCAGACGGTCACTTTTTCCACAAATTTGGGGTCCTTATTAGCTATTAGCGGTACAGGAGTCCTCTCCGGAAAATTCTTGCTTCCTTTCTCATCAAGAAATATCAGTTGTGATTGCTAAAAACAACATAAGTTCCATGCACGAAGATTCAGTTTCCGTAGGGAAACAAACCCTCGGAAACCACATCATGGACTGTCGAAGGTGGTCGCGCGCAGCCAAGGGCGACGCATGGAAAGAACTGCGTCTTGGGCGGCCGTACGACGACACGTTGAAAGAATCGGGTTGAGCGTCCGAGTTCGAAGAATGGAGTCAAAAACGATGTCAAGAATGGCATGCAGTAGAAAAGAGAAATGGTTGGTGGAAAGTTGGAAAAAACTATAGGTGAAAAAGGCCAAAAATTTTCATAGTAAATACACACCGAGAACGAAGTGGAATCGCTCCAGCTTTTGTGGCAGATTTCAGCGGCGGGAATTTGAAACCGTCCCCACTTCCCTCACTGAAATCTGGTAAATATGGCATTGGGTTGTTTTCCAGAGAAAAAAACAATTTTTTAGTTGTTTTCGTTCTTATCGTGAATGACGGGTCTCAAGTCAGTGACTCATGGGTAAGATAACGTCATGCTTTTTCCATGAAGACTCTTTGAGCTATCCACTAACTCCCACGTCCATGAAATCGCCACGCATTGTGATGCATGCGCCATGACGACTACCCCCCCCCATTGTGTTAGCAATGTAAACGTTGTTCAAGATATTTCATGTGCTTGAATTTGACGGTACTTTTTCTCAAATCCTTTAAGCATACAGTCAGGCAGCAGGGTCTGCTTCTTTCAATACTAATGGCACTAAAGTATACGCAGGCCCTATTGGAAAACATCTGAAGTGAAGTTATAAAGAAAACTCACCTGGGAAAAGCCAAAAAGGGCGTTTAAATCCTCAAAGATGGGTGTGGTTGGAAATTTCTTCGGGACCGCCCACTTGCCAGCCGTGATTGGCTACGGAGGCATTCGTGCTCGTTTCGGGACCACAGGGGGTATTTGAACTCTGTCCTTTAAAGTAATCAATCTGATCCTGCCTGTTGCACTCTTTTTTTGTTGTTCTAATGTTGTTATGTTATGTGGTGTTATGTAATGTTGTAATCTGTTGTAATGGCCACCAAGTCAGTCAGTTATTAGCGGAATCAAGGCTTCCCCAGCTAAATGGAAGGGTCGAATTGCAGTAGTTTGAGGGGTGATCGAACTGTTAGTGAATGAGCTAGAGAATCGCTCGCTCACAAATTGGTAAGAGTTGACAAAGATAACCATCTACACTGGTGTGCAAAACTTAAGGACCGAAGTAACTTTCACATGATATCTCACTGCTAGTTAACCTAGGTGGACCAAATTTGGCACATATATAGAAGTAAATGTTGCGGTACAGTGCAGAGAGTTACTAACAGAAAAGCGCAAAGGGGCGATTGGAAAAGACATTTTTCTGCAAATACCCTGTCTGAAGCGGTCGATAGGTGAGGCTTCTCCAACTCATGGTAGACATTCAAAAGAGAGGAGCTAGTTCTTGATGGGGTGTATGAACACTACGGACTGCAAGGTATGCTCTGCTACGTGTTCCCATACAGGCCGTAAGATTAGTTAAGAGTTCTTGAGGAGAAGTGACCGATTCCTTGGAGACCGCGATTGACAACTGCAGGACTATTGTTGGCACATGGTCATGTGCTACAATAGCTCATCTGAATCCACGCCACACGTGCTCCATAGAATTAGACTGGAGGAAATAAATGGCTTCACCAATTACCGAAAATCCTCACTTTTCAAGAGTTTTCCACCCAGGCTGCTCGATACTCTCGCACACTGCCCTCCATACGATTGAAGCTGAGGGCAAGGGAACCCTTGGAAAGATGCACATGACAGAAGGGTACAACACCACAATCACGTTGATCAGAAAGTGTAACGCGATCATGAGTTGGGGATCAGTACGCCCCGACAACTTTATGCCTCCCCACATCATGTCGCATGCACTACCAAAACAATCATGTTAAACGATGGTCCTGGGTAGATTACACGTTCCTATTTTCCCCATATGCAGGTAAGTCCAGAATCACTACTCACATTCAGTTTGCTCTTGACCGGGAAGAATACGCGATTTTTCAATTCGGTGGTCCATCTCCAATGTCTCGGCTCGTACCAAATGTCCCAGCCGAGGCGTGGATTTCAAATGAATACAGGTATTGTTGATCGATGAGAGAGATCACTCCTAGGCGGTCACTGCGCCACTGTCCGGACTGGGATTACATGCCTTACAATCCTGATAAATGTTTTTGCAACTGCAGCATGTGACTGACGTGGGTCCATTTTTGCCTGTAGCAAAACCTAGCAATCACCTGCTGCTGCGGTTGTTCGTGACCCACAAACCTCCTCTTCTTGGGACAGCAGTGGCTGCGGTCCACATTGCTTCTCATGCACAAAAAACAATGCTGTGGTTGACACAAAACTCCTGGACACAACTTCCTTTTTTCAGTTTCCCAATGATTCTTCCTCGCGTAAAGTCACCCTAGTGTTGTCTCTGAGACTTGATGTAATCAAGAACACCACTACATTCCACAGTCACTTCTCCCTGCTTAGTTTACCCCTCTTGTCCTGCCCCACGATACCCATCGTTCTGGGTGGCCACCCCATTTAGGCTCCAGATTGAAGCCGGATGCAAGACATATGAGGCCCACTTCGGTGCCCATGACTGTAGGGCTTCTAGCATTATGCCCGTACAGTTTCATCCAATTCCATCTAATTGTTAATAAGTTAGGACAATTTATCTATCTGGTCCTTAAGTTTTGCACACCAGTGTATTATGGCTATTTGCCAGCAATTGCAATTGGAGCGCATTTACTGCTGGCAGGTTCGGACAACTCGTCCAGCACGCGTCTTCTCTCATCGCTAAGGGCAGAGGGTGAGTTCCTGTTTAAAGCCCTATTCCGCGTTTTTCTTTGGTTTTTTCATTACTGTCGGTCAAATTGTGGGCTATAACTACATTATCAACGGTTTTTACCTCGTAAATTCGTCCTGGAAATTGTTTGCTTTAAGTGTTGACGATATTTGCTCAGTTGGGCCACCCCAAATTAGGGTAATTGCTGAAGGGTTAGCTGAAGTATGAAATTATAGGGGCTGGTATTTGGAGGAGAGGGACTATCGTGCACGTCATGGCAGTGACAAATTTCGAAAGAAATGAATTCAATTGTCTTACAGTTTTGGTAGTAGAGACACGCGACCGTCAGGAGGTTTCCACCTGGCGCATGCTTGAAATAGCCGCCGCATCCATACTTTGTACCCTGGGGTAGACGGCGAAGCTGAACAACGGCAGCGTTTTGAACCAAACCAGTTGTAATCATCAGTCAAAAATGTAGTTCGAAGGTTGATTAGCAAAAAAGACCAGGAAAATAAAGGATTTCCAATGCAACTATTATCTCAGGACCAAAGCTTCTTAATTAATCTTTCGAGTTCGAACCAAAAGAAGGAAAGCTCTCATATTGGGTTTTTCTATGACTCTTGGCCGATTTCTTTTCAAATCCAATTTTCTTCGTGTCAGATTGGTGTCATTACGAAATAAGTTGGTACATCAGGGTGCATCTAATTTTCTCTGAAGAGTCGCACGGTTTCTGCAGCGCGAGCGCAGCCTCTTCAAAACTCTTCACTTCCTTTCCATAGATTCTGTGATTTTGACTCACTGGTTTAGCAAAAGGTTCGCGGCTTTCTTTGTCTACCATGCAAAACAAAGTGTTGTTCTATTGGGAAATAATATTAACATTACGTTGTAAGGAAAGTTCTTGCCGTTTGCGACGTGAAACGTTCAAATGCGCCTTCTTCCACATCAACAAATTTTCCATTTGTAGTGAAAACATCTACAATCGACCGTTTCTTGGCAACATTTATTGAGGTTCGATCAGTCCGCTTCCCGAAAATACTGTAGCTCTAGAGGGACTCGGCGACGTCGTTCACATTATGCTAGATTTTCCAAGCGTAGGCTTCGGTGCTACCCCAAAACAGTTGACCAAAAGCGGCATGACTAAGTAAGACTGCAGTGAGTAAGACTGGCTCGCATATATCACTATCACAGCCGGTCCGCTAATTTTTCGCAAGATCGGTTCTTATGGCTGCGGCTGAGAGTGGATTGCGGAAAGGAGCGGCGCCATTCATGGTAGTCCTTCTGGACGCATGCTTATGGTTGAGGAGTATCCTGGCACTCCCAAAGATACTGTCGCCACTACAATAGTTTCCATGACTGTGCTCTGAGAAAATGCCCAGTTGCAGACAGCGTAACAGGCTAGCGAGGAAAACCTTCTTTCGTGCAGTCTCACCTCTTGCAAATTTTGTTGACTGTCTCGTCGTGATTTGGAGACACACACCGGGATTGAGGGGGGGGGCACATGTTCCATGCCGGCGGTGGTATACAGGCGGACAAGCGTTGATGTCGCACCCCTCTTGATTCGCTTAAAATTCGCGACAGGGTTGAAGTGAAGCGAGTGAAACAGTGAAAAGGCACAAGGAGCTCGTCCGACCTCGCAACGCACACCTTCGTCCGCAAGCCCCACCCTCCGCTGTCGGTTGCCACGTGGCGCTGCTTGAAAAGCGCGGGCGCATTTGAGGCAGCGGTCCCATTGCGACCCAATGTTATTGGCACTGGAGCAACTAGAGTTAGGTTCGTGAAACTCGTCCAACGCGCCCCTTCTCTATCCCAAGGTGGAATGCGGCTAAAAGGAGGTCTCTGTGGCGGGGCATAATCGGTGGTTCAGTCAGCTCCTTCCTCTTTTCCCGACCACCGTCCACCTCACCTTCATAACTGAACGCTTTCCCGCACCTATTTTATCCCGAATCTTGCTTTTAACACTCCACTGAAGCTCACGGGTTATTGTGATCCATTCTACATTGCATATCACTATCCGAAGGAAAACGGTCGTTTCCATTGAATGAGAGAAAGGAGGAAGAGCAGACGGCTCTTCGGAGCTGCGACTTTTTGTGGCACTCCTTATGGAGCCTCCCGCATTTTAAGTCTACTCCTTGTTAACTGAGACCACATATCAGTTACGCCTAATTCAGTAGCGAATTTCTCAACAGCTCTAAGCACACTTGGTTCTATCGAATCCTTCAGCTAATTGTCACCAACATTCAGTATCCAATGACCACCCTCACCATCTTCTCGAGGCTTTCGCCATCTTTACACAGGCTTTCCAAACTATCGCGCTGCTCAGCTCATTTTCCATAAATGTGGGACCAAATGAATAGCTGATATCATGAGCTGTCCGCTCCTTTCTATCCAACGAGTCAAAAAAAATCGTGCTGATTTGCTGTGTTGCATTCAAGCATGTTGCATTCAAGACTTTGAAGAAGTGGGAATATGTGCTTCATGAAAAAAGATGACAGTGTCAGAGGATAGAGCGGAAAATCTCTCTAAGGCCCGTGTCACACTTTGCGAATCGCGCGATTCGCTGGCGTCCGCGTTCGCTCGAGTGATTGAGTGATTCACTGGCCGCGATGCGACCGGCTAGTCTGACATCGGCCTAACAGTTTTCCAAAAATTTAAGTCCGTAAATATCCTTGAAACTTGAACTACCGAAGATAGCAGGAACTTTCCATACAACCTAATACACCTATTTAGTTAAACTCACTCGAGGTCCCATACTGTCAAGGTTTGGAAAGCCTACACGAATTTTTTGTTGCAGAGTCGAGTGGTCTTTTGATGAGAACGGCCTGAACATACAAATTCTTTTTTTTTAATTTGCACCACAATATTGAACATGATAGCGAATACATACGACTGAGATCTGATCCTCACGGTTGCTCTAGTAGTTTTATATCCAGCCGAATATAGCCTCGCCTCTTCCTCTATCTCCTCACTCCAGGTCTATAAGTCAGTTACAGTAACTGACAAATTTGCAATGGAAATCGTCACAAAGAGTTAACCCAGGCTCAACCGTGCGTTCGGCACTTTTTGAACACGAAGGGATCGCATTCGTGTTCTGAAGAAGTGGAGGGTGAGTCGCCTCGCAGGGATGACTGGATAGTCAATTGGGTAGTCATTGGAGGGGCTGAAGTTGGGCTGTTTCGACTGGACTCAGAATCTAACGCTATGGAAACAACCATGATGGCGAGGGTGATCGGGGTAGGGAGAAGAGTGGTCGTATAAGGGGAGCCTCCTCAGTCTGAAGGTGGTGGTGGAGAAGAGGCTCATCGAAACCTCTTCTTAAAGAGGGGGTCGCGGGATTTTTGAAGAAGTGCGAACGTCACGATTGACCCTGGTTCAAACAGCTCTGGCGAACCAACTAAGGAGACTTACCATGAGCGTGTTCCATTTTTCATTAAGCTTCATGAAAAATGGTTTAAGTGTTTGCGGCAGCCGTTCCCCATCTGAAAGAGTGAAATGAATGAAATTGCTCGAGAATTCTTATGTGGGCCTAGAACAGCGTGGCCAAAAGCTTCGGTGTTGATCTGCAGTATGTACACATCATGAAACCATGAGTGAAACTTACGCTGAGCATGACACTAACTAAAGTATGTAGGATGATTCAATCCTTCGAGAAGTTATTCAAATATTTTTGCTCCCCCTTATTGCACATCAGTTTAATCTACCAGGAGGGTAGTGGGTGTGGAAACGACAATCACTAGCGAAACTTCTTCGATTTTTTTTATGATGCTGTTTCAGAACTTCACATGCCATTTTGACCTCAGCTTGTATTACACACCTAATGCTTCTTCCCTTTTTTAGATTGTACCTGCTTATAGCTTGTGGTTAGTTGGTTTCTCTAAAGTGAGGTAATCGCTCGAGATTGGTCGGAATATAAAAATAGTGGCTAGCATTTGCAGATGTGGAAGATCGTCTAACTCGTGACAGTGTGTATGTATTGGAAAAAGAAGTCCAACGGAAATGTCTCACAATTCCTTATAGCAGAGACATGCGACCGTCAGCAGGTTTCCATCTCTCGTAGGCTTCAAAACGACGTTGCATCCATATTTTGAAAACTTGGGAAGGTTTTCGATCTGAGCGTATGATTAGTTTTTGGCCACAATTCGGCTGTAATTATTACATATAAGGTTGAACTCGACTGAACCAGAAAGAAACAAGGAAATTCAGGCAGATAGTATAAAAATTATCAGAGGCGGCCAAAAAAGAGACGTTGCTCAGACCCATTTCAGCAAGCCCAAACTCCCACAGGTTTCGGCGGTCAATGAGGGCCCTTCGGCAAAATGTTTCTGGTTCCATACGCCTGCGCCCGCTGTTCACTGCCTCCTTTTCAGACACTCCACTCCCATCTCCGTCACCCCGCCCGAGGTTCAAGCGCCAGCGCTCACACTCCCATCTCTCAGCCCTCAGCTGCTCCTCACATCCCTCACTCTCACCACACGACTCCGACTCACCCTTGCTAGCCCCCGACATCGACTCTCTCCACAACTAACTGCTATACTAACCAAGTTAACTGCGTAGCGCACTTGCCCGGAAAGCGAGAGGTGCGGGTTCTAGTCCCGCCTGGGGCGAAAGTTTTGTTCACAACCCAGCATTCTTGTGAAACATTCGCAACGCGAACTGCGGCGTTAAAACAGCAGTTAACAAACAAAACAAGTCTTAAATGTCGATAACGTAATGGTCCGCATCGTCAAGATGCACACTCAATTAGAGCGTGCACGCAACGATTCCTAGTGTCAATTTGCCTAAGTCGTAGGCTATCTGAGTTTTGACGACTGAAGGGTGCTGTCGATTCTCAGTTAAGTTCCCGAGGTTACGCATTTCCCATGGTTTTAGGAATTCGCCATGCAGGCAGCTTCGATGTCTACAACTCGCAAATTTATTCCCTGCTGCTTTGAATTCATGGAATTTCCCTGCTGCTTGGAATTTGGTGGAGTCATTAATTGATAACGTCATCCATTCACAGCCGGCATTCTTTGAAGAGTTGCCGGTTTTTTTAGATTCTAGGCCCCCTCCCTCCCCGAATTTATTTAATGTATTTTGTGAATTTCTGGTTCACTGGTCGGCTGAAGCTGTGGGAAAATGGCATGCAAAAACAGTTGTTCTACTACGAAAAGATAATACTTTTGTTCACTTCAACTCACTTGATGTCTTATTGGCCTAAAGTTTCTGATAAGTTTGTAAATTTTCCGCTCCATTGTTGAATTATCACTCTTCAGGAACAGCCTGAACATACAACATACTTTTTTTTCAAAATGTAGTACAATATTTGACCAGATTGCAAATACATACCCCTGCTCTCTGAGCTTCAGGTCAGCGAGACAAACAGCGAATAATTTTGGATTAATCGCTGCTTGGTACGCCTCTTCCTCTATATCCTCATGCCAACCCTGTAAAACAATTATATTAGTGGATAAGTTGCTGGGATTATTGCAGAGAATTTTATACAGCTCTGGTGAACCTAACAAAGAAACTAACCAGGTAAGGGTTGTATTCTAAAGTAAGCTTCTCGAAATACTTTTTCAGACTTGGCGGCAGCGGTTTTCCATCTAAAAGGTGAAAATTGATTTTTTTCTGAGATTCATTAATTAACTTTGGACAGCTTGATCAAGGAAAAATTGCGTAGAAACGATCTATATATAATTAAGTGAAAGTGTAGGTCGAACTTACACTGAGCGCTAACGTTTGCTAGAAAGAGAGCCAGCAGTGCGACAACTGGAAACATTTCGAAAGTAATATGGCTGTTTCTCCACCTGCTTTATTGCCACGAACAGCAATTTCGTTTTTCAATATCATGTACGTAAGTTGAATTCGGTGTAGAGCTTTAATCTAAAATTTTGTTTACGTTCTTTCAACCTCATATTGCCCTTTTCCTATGGTTATTGTAATCAATGAAAATTGT